AGATAGATAGATAGATAGATAGATAGATAGATAGATAGATAGACAGACAGTAATTGTCTTCGTCTGTTTGGGCTGCTGTAACAAAAATACCATAGACAGGATAGCTTATGAGAAAGAGAAAATTATTTCTCATTCTTCTGGAGGCTGGAGAGTCCAGGATCAAGGTGCTGGGGGATTTGATGTCTGTGAGAGCCCACTTTCTGTTTCATAGACAGTCCTTCTCACTGTGTCCTCACATGGTGGAAGGGGACTAGGGAGCTCTGTGTAATTTCTTTTATAGAAGCACTAATTCCATTCATGAGGGCTCCACCCACTCAAAATACCTTACAAAGTCCTTACTTTTGGGGTGTTAGGCCCCACCCTAATAACAACACATTGGACATTAAGTTTTGACTTATGAATTTTGTGGAGACATAAATATTTAACCTATAGCAATGATATATATGCAGATAGTTAAAGATAGATATAAACATAGAGACTTCCTTCACTTCACTCAGTCTGCTTTCTGCCTTTTAGTTATAACCTTGACTTCCATTTACTCTCAGAAATGATTAGATTTCAGATCCAATTCTTAAAGACGAGTCATTTTTGTAACCCATTTGATCATTTACACATGCCCTAAATCACACATAAAAGATTTTTCATTACAATACTGTAAATAGAAATGTTTATGGAAGGAGAACTGACTGTGGGAGGTAAACACACAACATAATATATAGATGATGCATTACAGAATTGTACACTTGAAACCTATGTAATTTTATTAACCATTGTCACCCCAATAAATTTAATTTAAAATAAAAAAAGAAAAAGAAAGAAAAAAAAGAAACGTTTTTCAGATTAGATCACAAAATAAAACTCTCAGATGTACAAGGGTATACCTAAAAAAGAAAAGAAAAGAAAAGGTTTAGAAACAACCCAATTATATGTCAATAAGCGATTGAATGAAAATATAACAGTTCTTCTCCACAATAGAATGTCACGTGAATGTAGAAAAAATAAGCTGTCTATGTGGTGTGATGAAAAGATCTCCAATATAAATTTAAGTGAAAAAATTCAAGTTGCAGAGAATATATGCTCTATAGCTGTAGTATTTTTTAAAAAGAAGGAAAGAGAATATATATATATTCTTATGTATGTATGTACGTATGTATGTATGTACGTATGTATTTATATATTGTATTTGCCTGTCTTTGTGTAAAGAAACTCTGGAAGTATATAAAATAAAATAATAAAAGTGATTTACAGATATGAAGAAGGAATGGTGCTTGGAGAAATGAATAGATGAGGAACAGGAATGAAGTCTAAATCCAATACTGATATTCAACCAGTATGCAAGGATAGAGTGATACTCATTCGTAAATTACAGTTGACCCTTGAACAACATGTTTTTGAACTGTGTTGGTCCATTTATACCTGAATTTTTTTTCACTAAATATGTACAGTACTGTAAATGTATTTTCTCTTCTTTATGATTTTCTTTTTTCTTTTTTTAAAGATTTTATTGGGGAATTGGGGAAGGGGAACAGCCAAGTTGTTGTCCTTCAGTCTTAGTTGTGCAGGGTGCAGCTAGCTCAGCTCGAAGTCCAGTTGCCATCCTGCTGCCTGTTGGCAGCTCAGCGGCAGCTCAGCTTGGGCACAGCTCACTGGCCCATGTGGGAATCACACCAGTGACCTTGTTGCTCAGAGCTCGTGCTCTTAACCAACTGATCCACTTGGCCAGCCACCCCTTATGATTTTCTTAATCACATTTTCTTTTCTCTAGGTTACTTTATTGTAAGAATATAGTATATAATACATATAACATACAAAATATGTGTTAATTAACTATTTGTGTTATCAGTAAGGCTTCCAGTCAACAATAGGCTATTAGTAGTTAAGTTCTGGGGAGCCAAAAGTTATATGTGGATTTTTGACTGCGTGAAGGGTTGGTATCCCTAGCTCATGTTGTTCAAGAGTCAACTGTACTCCTAAAACAGTTGGCAAATGGCAGCTACACTGTTCACCCTCCACCTTAAATTTTGCTCTGGCCTTTTCCCCTGGAACACCAGGGATCCTCCAGGAATCAAAAGTGAACACATAATGAGAAATATATTGTAAAAGGCTTATTAAGGGAAACACTAGTGAAGGGTAATGGAGAAGGGGAGCAAGAGTAAGTGGGGAGAGCTTTCAGACTACCATTCAGTTCTGACCTCTGTGAAAGGAGAAAGGAAAGAAAAGAACTCTAGGTAAGAATAGTCTCAGATAGGGCTGGCCATGTGGCTCAGTTGGTTAAGAGTTGGCTTGGGAGCGTGAGCTCTGAGCAGCAGGGCCGCCGGTTCGGTTCCCACATGGGCCAGTGGCACTGTGCCCTCTACAGCTAAGATAGTGAACAACAGCTCAACCTGGAGCTGAGCTACCGTGAGTGGCTGGCAGCCGGGGAGAGCTGCTGTGAGTAGCGATCCAATGGCCAGCAACCGACTGCCTCTACCGGGAAGAGTTCAACAATTATACCAACATGGGCCAGTGAAGTGACCTCCTCCACAACTAGACTGAAGAACAAAAGGACAACAACTTGTCTGTTCCCCTTCCCCGATTCCCCAGCACTGTTCCCCTCCCCAATTCCACAATAAAATCTTTAAAAAGAATAGTTTTAGACACGCTGCAGCTCAGAGAAAGTCTCAAGCAAGCCAATGAGGAACCCTGAACAAAGACTGCTCTTTAAAGGAGCCTGTGTTGTACAGGA